TTTTGGAAATTTTTTTTTGTTCAAAAAATTAATAAAATTCCCAAAAAAAAAAAAAAAAAAAATTTTAACCCGTCTTTTGTGAATTCTGTATTCTGTATTCCAAGAACCAGGAAAACCCTGTAGTCGAGATTCTATGGAATTGAGAAAAAGAACAAAAAAAAATTCTCGTAGCAATAAATTGAAACGCACAGAAAATTGGAACACACAGAATAAAATATAAAATATCCTGTGTGTCCATGGTGTGTGTGACTGTTGTTTCTCACCAATCACATATATATCACACAACCGTCGTTTTAGACACACACACAGGAAAAACAAAAACAAAATTTGTAACAATTTGATTGATTACATGTTTTTTTGGCTATTTTCTCTCTCTCTCGTTTTCGGGTATGAAAAAATAAAAATTGTATATCTAAATATCGACCACGATCAACAACAACAACAATTTTTTCTAACTGAATCAGAAAAAATATGATTGCTACTCGACTAAACACATTTTTTGACTTGTTGTTGTGATGGTGATGGTGGTAATCAGTTTTTTTTCTCGAATTCTTTTTTCCATCCAGAAAAAGAATTTTTCATGTTTTTTTTCTGGAATTTATAGAATTCAATTTATCTTTTTGCGAGGAGAAAATGAAAATATCTTTGGTTCTCCATAGACAACGTAAACGTGTATTTGATGATGTCTTGATCATTCTTTTTTTTCTTCATTGGATATGCACGAAATCCCGGATTTGAACGAAAAAAATTTCACACACTGAACTAGAGTTTATTCCAAAAATCAGTTGAGAACTTTGAGATTTTTTTTTCTTTTTCTCCAAAAAGAAAAAAATCCTGATATGAATCAAATGTGTTCAAGTGAGCGAATGAAAGTGAAAAAAAAATTTTTTTTTTTCGTTTTTTTTTTTTCAATTTTTTTTTTTTTTTTTTTCGATTCTTTTTTTCCAATTTTTTTTTTTTTTTTTTTGATTCTTTTTTTCCAATTTTTTTTTTTTTTTTTTGATTCTTTTATTGAACTGTTTTGTTTTTTTACCCTTTGGTTCTTTTAAAGTCAATTAATTCTCAATTGAAAATACCTGATTTACATATATTTTTTATTAAGGCGCTGCGAGGATTCGAACCCGTGACCAACACATTTTCCATTATGATTGAAATTTCCATAAACGTAAACCAATTTTTTAAAAAAAACCCAACCAAAATTCGATCTAACTAAACAGGAATAAACTGTTAAGATATAATATTGTTGGTGAATTATCACCTAAATGATTTCTCTTTTCATATTGGAAATTTTTCAAAGGCCGATTTTGACTTAGAAAATTTTTCAAATTTTGGCTTTCGACTTAGAAATTTTTTAATTTTTGGTTTTGACTAAAAAAATTTTTCTAAGTCCGATTTCAATTTCAAGAATTTTTCAAAGTCCAATTTCGACTTAGAAAATTTTTCAATTTTTGATTTCGACTTAAAAATTTTTCTAAGTCCGATTTTGAAAAAAATTTTAAAGTTCGACTTCGACTGAAAATTTTTCAGATTTCGGCTTCGACTCAAGGGAATTTTTCAAAATTCGGCTTTCGACTTGGAAAATTTTTAATATTTGGTTTTGACTTGGAAAATTTTTCAAAGTCCGATTTTAACATAAAAAATTTTTAAAGTTCGACTTCGACAGAAAATTTTTCAATTTCGGCTTCGACTTAAGGGAATTTTTCAATTTTGGCTTTCGACTTAGAAATTTTTTAATTTTCGGCTTCGACTTAGAAAAATTTTCAATTTTGGTTTTGACTTAGAAAAATTTTCAATTTTGGTTTTGACTTAGAAAAATTTTCAATTTTTGGTTATGACTTAGAAAATTTTTCAATTTTGGTTTTGACTTAGAAAATTTTTCAATTTTTGGTTATGACTTAGAAAATTTTTCAATTTT